CGTTTAATTTCACGTAAACAGAAGGTTATCTCAGGGACCACCTTTTCCAGACATAGGAGCAGGCGTCTAGGGGGACCCAAACTCCTTCTTAACATTTAGGCAAGAGACCCAAACAGTACCGACCATGAGCAAGCGCTTTGGCGACAAGGGCAAGGAAAAACTGCCTTTTTAACAGCAGAAACCTAGGACAGAATCCTTTCGGCTCTTAGGGTGGGCGTGGTGTGTCTGTCTCAAACCAGTTTGGGGGGAAGGAGAGAGATATTAGTGATTGGCAATGGCAAGATCCAGCAGGACCAGGCAGGAGCGTCCACCAGGGAATCGCATGGAGAACCCGCAAGCACGATAAAGCACAAGAACTCCAGCGGAAGGAAGTGGCAAGGTTGTAACATGCATTAATGCGGACATGGAGTGGGAGTGCAGAAAGGGAGAGGAGGAGGAAGAGAGGAACTCAGGTGCACCATGGGAAATCCCCGATTAGCTCTTTAGGCCTATAAGCAGCGTAAACTAAGCAGATGGTTAGGCCTCCCTGATCCAGTTCCCTAACTATAAGCTTATCAAAGAGGGAACGCTTAAGCCTACTTCTTTAAATTGGGGAGAGGCTGTTTGCTGCCCGAACCACAACTGGAAGCCTGGTTCCAGCAGGAAGGAGCTTGGCCTAACTGGAATGCTCTGCTCCTGTTCTGGCTTTTAGGAGGACTGGGTAAGGAACCACAAGGTAAGCCCAGCATTTCAGAGAACGTTAGTGTTCTAGGAAGGGTCAATAGGGTACTAGAGCTCTTCAAGATACAGAAGGGGCCCTGACCATGAAGAGCCTTTGATTAGGTGCAGCGAGGGGGAGAATTTTAATTCCTATTCTAAATTTGAACAGGGGAGCAGTGCAGGAGGAAAGGCTAGACAGGGCAGGAGATGTGAGTCTCTTTGTCCTAGTTCCTGTCAAGTACTCGTTGCTGCCAGGCGTTTTGAATTAATTGGAGGGCGTTTGGGTTAATGGTTATCGTAGGGGACAAACCTGATCAATAAAAGTTGCAGTAATCCGCCTAGAAGTAACAAATGCATGGATTAGTTTTTGCTGCATCGTCTGTGACAGGGATGTGGTTCTTAATTTTTGTAATATTACGTAAAATGAAAGAAGGCAGTCCTAGAGATCGCTTCTATCATGGGAGGTTAAGACAGAATCCTGATCAAAGATTAACTCCAAGATTCCTGACAAGTGCGTGCTTAGGAGGCCAGCGTAATTGCCAGTCTAGGTTACAGTAAACTAGTATGCTTAGACAAGTTGGAGGCTCTCTAAGGATTTTTTTTGGGGCCAAGGTACAAGAAATTTCAGTTTTTTCTGGGAGTTTTAACATCATAAAATTGCAGATCATCCAGCGATTTTATGTCCTTAAGGACATGTTTGTAATTTAATTTCATCGGGCTTGATCATTAATTATGATATAACTGGCGTGATCATTTCATAAACAGGGCTGAAAGTTAATGGAGCTGAGTTCCTAATAATTTTGACTAAAGGGAGCATATATAAAGTAAACTAGAATTGGCTCCAAGTACAGAACCTTGGTGGAACTCCATGATCAACTGTATATTTATAAAGAGTCATCGGTTAACATGAACAAACCTGTGAACGATCTGATAAATAGGACCTAAAACCGAGCCTTAGTGCGGTTTTTGCCCTTTAATGAATTGATGCTCAAGTCAAAGAGATGATTATGGTCAATTGGTGTTCAAATGCAGCACAAAGATCTACATTAATACACAGTTACAGAGACAAGGTCCCATTGGTCAGAAGCTAATCTCAAAAGGTCATTACTAACTTTAGAAACAGAGCGTCTCTTGTGCTGTGGATGAAGTCCTAAATCTGCGCGTTGACTGAAATCCTCATAATTTATTGCTATCTAAAAGTCCACACAAACGTTTGTGACTACTTTCTCCAGAATCTAAGAGAGGAAGGGCGAGGGTTAGAAATCGGTCTTCAGTTTGGCTAAAACCCTGGTCAAGAGCTGGGGCTTTTTAAGAAGGTTTTTAATTACAGCTACTTTAAAGGACCGTTGGTACACTATCCGGATAATAGCAGAAAGATTAATCATATCTAGTAAAGAAGTGCCAATTAAGGGTACAACTTCTTTAAAGCCAAGCCTTAAGTTGGATTGGATCTAACAGACAGGTTGATGGGCTTCGATGGAAGCAAATTATTGAAGTAACTGGCGTGAAGCATTCTTTTTATGAGCGGAAAACTATCTGAAATATATATCGTAAGCTTTACATTAGTTAAAGTTCCTGAACTTGGGAGAAGCACTGATTAACTGTTTGAGGGCAGTTGGGTGATCTAATTTTCTCTTAATAGTAATAATTTTATTATAAAAGAAGTTCATAAAGCATTGCTACTAAGTTTATGGGGATATTGTGGCTCAATTAGCAGCTGTGACTCTCTGTCAGCCTTGGCTACAGTGTGGCTGGAAGAGGGAACCTAGGGTTAATTCTATTTCTTCTACTTAATGCTCGAATAATAGCCTAACTCTGGCATTACGGAGGGCATTCTATTAGGTTTTAAGATTATCTTGGCCAAATTGGAGTGATATTCTTGATAATTTGGAAGAGGCGCCATCTTCCTTTCGTTTTCTAGCTTTTGCTTTAATTGGCGGTTTGGGTGGTTGTTACCACGTGCTATTTTTCCTATGTTTTTAATACATTACCTTTTTATGAGGGAGCGATAGAGTTTAATGTTCTTCGTAGTGAGCCTTGCAGCATATCAAACAAGATTATCAATTTCGGAGGCGGGACTAAGTTAACTATAAGACTCTGTTTAAATGTCAAGACATGGCATTGGAATGGAACACTAAAGGAACTCCTCCCGTAATTTAGCGTACAGCGCTGTCAGATAGACATCTGCTGTTTAGACGTTTTGCCTATTGGCCTTATAATCTAATAGCATGAATCAAAAGGTTTTAAATTAATGGTCAGATAAGGAGGAGGATTATGGTTTTGGGGAAGATATTAAATGTTCAAATTCAATGCCATATGATAGACGAGCGTCAGAGTGCTGGGATTAAAACAAATGATTGGTTTATTTACACTCTGACAAAGCAATTGAGGTCATTAATGGAGGTAAATGCGCATTACTAAGGCCTGTCCATTTTCAACTATTCCACATGGATTATTAAATCACCTACAATTTAATTACTGTTGTCTGATTTAAGGGACTAAACTTGGATAAAAACTCTGAAGCAATTCAGATATAAAATCAGAGTACGGTCAGAGCCGGTACACTATTAACAAATAAAAACTGCTGCAGGATTTTCCAGTTTGGTGAGGAAAGGACTAAGAACAAGGGCTTTCAATGAATTATCTATTTAGTTATAGGTTTAGGGTCCATTAAAAACGCTCGAATCACCTATAGTGGCTGCTACTCCACCTCTCGCGCCTGTGCCCTCGGGGGATGCTGAGGTATTAATGTGACTGGGGGGGTTAGATTTCATTTAGGGCCAACATACTCCTCGTGCGGGACAACCCAGGTCTCCAGTAAGGACAAAGTAAATCCAATATCATAATCTGATATTAATTGCATTAACTAAAACAGCTTTAGAGGACCGAGACCTGAGTATTTAACAGGTTACATTTCATTTCTTTTATTTTGTGCGTTACAGAGGAGGTTAGTTTAAGTTTTTTATGTAGATTTTTCATGTTTATCCTCTTGTTTTATTTCTTTAAATAATTTCGGTGGTCGGGGACAGACACAGTCTCTATTGCGGGTTTTTGGCGGTGGGTGACTGCTTACTAGTGAAGCGCACGAGAAGTGTGTAAGACAGCAGCTCTGCTTCCTGTCCCAACTCTGCATTGTCAGGATTTTTTTTTAGAAATAAACATAGAGGGAGGGCAGCTCCATCCAAAGGGTGGGATGGATTGGGCGTCGCTCCTAATCAGGACATTTTCCCCGAAAAAGGCTGCCAGCTTGACAATTGTGAAGCCCACATCGTTTTCTGGACACCACCTCGACAGCCAGCGGTGGAATGCGACATGCGGCCTCATTACATTGTCATCACTGGTCACATTTTTTGGGGCCCAGAGGTCCAGAGAAAACTACGCGTGGTCCAAACTTGTTTTGGCCAAATCTACACACCGACTTCCACATTAACTTTTAGTGACTCCGAGTGCGTAATGGGTGTCATTACCGCCGACGTTGATTAACTATCTTATTTGTGTTTACGGCTTATCTTGTAATGCCAGCAGTTTTAAATAGGATTCACATCGCCCCGCCCTCTGGCCCCAGGGGATACGATTGTAACTTGGGCCGCTGGCTTTGCTAAACTTCACGTTCTGACTATGGAGCTGCAATAAGTCAGATTGTTTCCTCCAGCGGGGTGTGTCCAGGGGTGATTTCTAGACCCCCGCCCCCCCATGGCCCTAGGCAGAAGGACCAATGGGCGGCCCCCAGAATCATGATGAATAAAGGTCGCAAGATACGGATCGCAGTAAAGAAAATTCTTTTATTAAACATGTAACATATAAAATAATAATTAGAAAAAACATAATTATGCTGAATGAACTTACATACAATATATAAATAACAGAAAAAAACAAACATAACATTAACTGGAAATGTGCAAAATTTTCAGAAGATAAAACGTAACCAAGGCAAAAAAACAAAACAAGGAATTGGGGACTGATATATTTTTAAATGGGAGAGCAAGTCACTGCTAACTGTAACTTTAAAAAGGGAAACTAAATTAATTTCCTACTTTGATTGTTAGAGGTCTGGCTGCTGCTGCTGCTGCCTGTGTTGTTGCTTGATGGTTGTTTTGTTGTTTTTGTTGTTGTTGGGCCAAAAACTTAACAAAGCACCTTGAGGGAAGAAAAAG